GTATATATATATAAACATTAATGCCTTCCTGTCATGTTCCACCCCTTGATTCAAATATTGAACAAAACAGTCAGTGAGGTTTTTTTAATTATAAAACATTTATTTTTGACAAACATTGAGACGATGTAAAAAAAGGATGAAATGATAAAAGTAATAAAGTTGTGTATACGCAAAATCAGGTATTTATACAATAACTACAATTTTAAAAAACAGAGGCCTTAAAATAGTCAACTCATTAGGCTGTAAAACATACAGAAATAATATTTAGGCCTTAAAAAAGCCAAGTACACTTCAAATGCCTTTAACTAAAGAATTCACACAAAATGCCCACAGTCACCTTTATTTTATGGGTCTGTCCTGGATCATTTTTGGTTTTGTGAACTATCACTTACTGTAAAAATCAGTGGAATAATTGGTTTGAAAAATGTGACGTTTAATATTCAGACTTTTTTAATGTTTGAGGAAACAAATAACCCAGAAAGTAGGTGAAAAACATTACAAAACCACAAACTTTGACAGAAACTTGAGTTTGTGTCTCTGTCCCTGACAGACTTATTAGGTGCGAACAGCATCTGGCTTGAGGAACAGCCGGCTGTGCCAGTAGTCTGGGTTGTCAAACGATGTGCTGCTGCCAGGCTCCCCCACGCCAGCGCACACCTTGATGTACTCCTCAATCAAAGCGCACCTGGCACCGCCCACCTCCTCGGGAGCAACCCTCTCCTTCGCTGGGAGGTTCTCGTATTCTGTGTGCCCCCACCCATCGGGCACTTCTCCTAATCCAGTCATCTCCTCGTACTCCTCCASCTCTCCTCCTCCAGCTGTCAGCACATCTGGTCCAGGCATACTGCTCAGACTCCCCTGCAGAGGGGTCGTTTCATCTGTGTTGTGATGATTTTCAGCCTCTTGCCCCTTTTGCTCTTCTCTCACCACTCCCACTACATCTTCTGTGTCCCACGTCTCTGCTGCAGATATCACAGACGTTTCACTCCAACTTCTTTGCAACTCTGGGTCGCCTCCCTCCGAAGAGTCAGAGCGCCGGATATCCATGTATTCATACCTGCCAATCCCTTGGCCTACCTCTGCTTGGTCATCCGTACCTTTGATCGCACCGGTGCAGACGCTGATAAGCTGATGTTTCTCGGCCAAGTCTCTTTGCTCTCCTGCAGCTCCTTCACGAGCCTCGTGATCAGCACAGATTGGAGTCTGTTGTGGGTTTTCTGTGAGTGACAAATCCATGAGAGTCGGAGAAGGTAGAGGTGTGACTTTATGACAAAATGCGATTAGTGTGTCGTCTCCTTGCAATAGCGGGGAGCATGTAGGAACGTTTGACTCTGTGTTCATAGTTTCATATTCCTGGGAGGGGGTTGACAGCATGAGTCTAAGATTATTCTTCTGGCTTGTGTTTCTTTTGCCAGATCGAGATATTCTGGAGGCTGTGAAGCATAATGACAGAAGCAAACATATTACATAAAGAAGACAAAACAATATGCTGCTGTGTTTTAATTGCATTTTACCTCTTTCGGGTGTTCCAGGTGACCCAGGCAGAACGTAGCCATAGTGATCCAACTCTTCCTCTTCCTCTGCCGTCCACACCTTGTACGAGGARGGACTCGAGGCTGTGGACAGCTTCCTGGGTCGGCTGCTGGCTGCACGGGGATGACTCTTCTCTGAGCCCAGCCTGCTCCGGTGAAGGCTTCTGGTTTGTAAGCCCTCCTCGCGCACCTCTGCTTCCCTGACACCCGCTCTGAACTCTGACCTCTCAGGCAGCGTCCGCACCGAGCTCAGACGAGACCTGCGAAACCACAGCTGAGGCAAAAAAGAAGAAGAAACAATTGAATCCAGTAGCTATTAGAATGGGTCAAACAATAGGAATCGTACTTATTTGCAGCACATATTTGCTGCACCTGGCGGATGCTATCCACGGGACTCGGAGTCATCGTCAGGTATCCGACCGGCCCAGTCTGAGATGTGCCGCTCTACAAATCAGAAAAACCACAACGTGTAACCCTGAAAGAGCAAGTCAGTCAACGTTTCAGACACTTTTGTACTACCCTGTATGAATTAATCCGTGAARGTGACAGACTCCAGGATGGAGAGTGCTGAAGAGGAGGTGTCGCCAAACCGTCATCTAGCCCCARCTCATCTGGGTCCTCCAAATCTGCATCCAGGAGTCCTCGTTCGGACTCTCTGCGATGGATTTCCCCGGGTACGGCATCGTCTCCTTCCTGCTACAGGTCAGCGGGGAAAAGCAAGGGTGTCAAAACGGGGGCCGAGAGACAAATCCACTGTGGATAAAACACAAAGCTGTAAAACAAGAGAGCACAGTGCTCTCACCTTGATAACAAGGTATCTCAGTGGGTCTCTTGCCATCCGGGTAAAGTCACTGGCCAGCTCTTTGAAGGTTGGCCTTATATTTTCATCAATCATCCAGCCTGATACAGCACATATAAAACAACATTACATATAGTCTAAATTAGGGCTGTCAAATGATTAAAACTTTTAATCTATGAATTCCAAGGTCGCTGTGAATTAATCACGATTAATCTTAAACAAATTTTTAAATGTTTAAATATTATTTATTTATTAAATAAATAAAATAAAATAAGCCATAAGAAGACAAAAATAAATAAAATTGTACATAATGTGTTACACATGGAGTTTTTTTATATTATTTATTTAACCTTTATTTATCCAGGTAAACTGTTTGAGAACCACTTCTCATTTACAAACATGACCTGGCATGCACTGAGTGCATTGCAATATACAAACCTACATATTCAGCCAGTGATTGTAAATTTTAATCGCGATTAAAATTATTAATCTATGCCCATGCAGCACTAAAATTAATCAGAGTTAACTCGATTAATTTCACAGCCTTAGTCTAAATATTTATTTGTCTCAGAAATGGATCGTTGCGATCAGAAGTGCAAAATCATCTTATGGTTCAGAAGTTTTTTTTCCTCACCCATTACTTGCTGGAGTATGCAGATATTTCATTTTCCTTTTGAGTTTATGAAATAAAAGTTTTTGTCTCACCCTGTATGTTGCGTATTATATTGGCATCACACCGTATCACATTGTTCATGGAGTCTTTATTTGTGAAGAAATGGTATGAATTTCACTTGCGTTGGAACAGGAGAAATGTTTTGACGTACATTTAACCATGACCATGTAAACGTCGATGGTGCAGATGTGGGGCTGTGAGAGACGTTCGCCCTTCTCCAGAACGCTCGGCACGTCCTGAGGCTGCACAGACACGTATGGCTCCGCCCCGAATGACATCATCTCCCACACCGTCACCCCTGTCCAAGACATTAGGTACCACTTTAAAACACTGCGCGCAAAAAAACAAGTAAATCAACGCACAGCTGAGAGGAAACACTAAACGCTCCTCTTACCGTAACTCCAAACATCACTTTGATGAGTGTATCTTCGGAACAAGATGCTTTCTAGTGCCATCCATTTTATAGGCGTCTGAATGAGAGCAAATGATACGGGTCAGGCAGTTTGATTGGATTACTGGAAACTTGTCATTTCAAGCAAGTCATAGCAACCTTTGTGTCTGAGTAGACATATTTCTTATCGTCTGGATAAAGGAGATCTGCCACACCGTAGTCCGAGATCTGGACCTGATAGTCGTTCTTCAGCAGAACGTTACGGGCAGCCAGATTCCTGTGGACTATGCAGTGTTCCTCCAGATAAAACATACCCTAAAATAAAAAAGGCACATAATCTTTAAATGTGTCAACAATTTTAGGAATAAAACTTATTTCCTGCTGTACACACCTTAGCAATCTGCACACACCAGTTGAGGAGGCGCTGAGGGTCGAGGTTGTTCTTGTGCTGTCTGATGTGCTCTAGTAAGGAACCATAAGAACTGAGCTGGGTCACCAGCTGCAGAGTCGTTCCAGGGCAGATTCCCAGCAACCTAACAATGTAGGGATGGTCCATGCTGCCCATGGACAACATATGCTGCAGAAAAGAAGACATGGGTTTGTAACATTGTTGTGTTTGACCTCTCTGTCTGCATGTTTGTTCTATAGACTCACATCAGTGATCTCAGTGAAGGTCTGTCGACCTGAGCTGTCTTGGATGGTCTTAATGGCCACGGGGATCTTCACTGTCTCTCCCTCTGGAGTCCAAAAGCCCTTAGACAAAAATTAGATTGTTTAAGAAAAGATGTGATAGGTCACAAATCAATGGAGAAACAATGAGAGAGAAACAATCTCTACCTTGTGCACTGTGCCAAAAACCCCAAAACCGAGGAGTTTGATCTTTTTCAGCTCGGAGGGCTTCAGAATACGAGCATGAACTTTGGTGCCTTTTTCTCCTGGACCCAGAGGCTCAAAGCTCTGTGAAAGACACAACAGTTGTTTTTACCCTTCGTCCCGGTAAACACGATTATCGTGACTCGTAAAGAGTTGGTCTCCGGCGCCTCACCTCTCCACTTTCCAGGTAGCGCCTCATGGCTCTCTTGTGACGGATGGCGAGGCCTCTGTGGTACAACACTCCCAGGAAAAACAACGCCAGGCAGATAATCAGTGCCGCCGGGACCCCTAACACTATACAGGTGATCTGACCACTGCAGGGGAAAGCACACGTGGTAGGAATGAAACGAGAGGTTCAAAGGTTGAGGGAAAAATGCAACCTGAAGAACCGTTTACGATGCATTGCAGTTCACGATCTAATGATGTTTGAAGAGACTTCATCCATGTTTAGCATCTTTTGTCAGAAGATTGAAGTGAAAATTAACTGCTTAGAGGTAAAGTTACAGACAGAATAGAAAGATGTGTTTCAATGACAAGAAACCCAAATTTAACATCATGAACTTGAAAATTAGCATGTTTGTCTTTAAAGTGGCCAAGTATTAAAGTAGACATATTCTCTTAAATCCTCCTTTTTCAAATATAAATCATTCAGATGGGGTCTATATAAAGTGGCACTGCAATGCTCTTTATTGTAACTCCACAAGCCCCTGTCGCTCCTATTCTGAGGTGTGTCTCAGATCACCTCGTTTTGACGCTGTCTCTTTAAATCTAAACAAGGTGCTTCACACCCCGCACCCCCACCTCCAACTGCCAGAGCAATCCATTCTAACTTGATAGAGGGCTTTACAACTATACAGCGACGGAGAAAGGTTTTATTAACAAATTAATTAAAAGATGTCAACAACTGAAGACTTGTCCATGTTGGAGCCAGAGTCTGACCCAAAGCCAGAGAAAAATGAAGACTATAAAGTTCTAGGTAAGTCCAGACCTTATTTGGCAATCCCATTGCAAATACTGTGACAGAATGGTCGAGAAAACGTCATAGAAAATAATAAAAAAAAAAACTGAACTGATTGAAAAATATGACCCAAACACCAGGATAAACTAAGTGAAACTTTTCTGCATTCCTAGAGAAACAACAACAAAAGGCATTTAACAGCTAAAAAAGTGGATTTAGCATTAAATTTCCCCTTAAAGTCAACATAGGAAATGTCACATCACAGTGTTGCATTATTTTTTTCACCAGCAGGGGGCAACAGTCACCTGCTGACTGTCATCCTCACCGCCTCCAAACAGTCATTTAACCCTGGGCCGAAGCATCTGAAACACAGAAAAGTGACTCTTAAAAGTTCTTCCGTCCAATAACTGCAACACTTTACCTGGAAATGTGTAGAAATACACAGGTGCACACTTCAAGCTGAGGCTCACCCCTGCGTGCAGTTGTGGTGACATGGCTCACAGTGACCCTCCTTGCTGGGATATTTGAAAATCAGTCCTTTCTGTCCATCATTCACTCCACTGGGACAGGAGGACATGCAGTAAGGACCGTCCTGAAGATTGGCACATGCTTTGCATTCATCTGCCCCCTCATAGGAGAAAGTGAGAAAGAAATGAGGCCAAGATTATGGGCTGTAATTGGATAGTTTGACGAGGAATGACAGAAAGTCAATACAAATTAGGTAAAAAATAGGTAATAAAAAGTAGCAAAATGAAATCACTATTTTTTGACAATTTATATTATTTTCTGTTCCGTTTTCTTTCAAACACATTCATGTTTTGACAAAAATATAGTAGGGGGTAAAGTAAGTTCTGGCATGGGGATGAAAAATAATGTCAAAGTTTTTTATTTAATCAAGATTTAAAAACTGGACATTTAAATGTGAAAAAAAAGATGGATAAACATGATTGAGATGGTAGACATTTGTGGCCAGAGACAAAAGAACAGCTAAATCAGACAGGATCTTAAAGGACCTAATTTCTTTGTTAATAAATCAAATGATTACCGGTCCTGTGCAGCTGACTTGTCTTCTTTGAGGTTTGCATTCTGGATGACAAGCAACACACTCTCCATCGGACCTCGCAAATTCCCTCGGAGCTCTGCAGGCACAAAATGCAAAAAAACTAAACAAAAGGGGAAAAAAACACAGTATCAGACACAAGAGCTTCACTACTGACCCAGATCCAAAGTTACAGCTATCCACACATGTGCCACCACGACTGTAGTTCCTGCAGGAGAGACACTGGTCGGGTCCAGGGCCCCAGCAACCTGAATCAGAGCACAACGGGTCGCACACTCGTCCCTCTGCAACTGTAAAGAAGACGACAGACAGGCATTGGCTGCGTGTTTTCTGTTTCGTATTTTCACATTCGATGTAAAAAACACCAAACACACCGCACTCCACCAGCTTCTTGTTGCTGCTGAGGATGTTGTCCTGAACCCTGCGACCTCGGAACAGCTGCGTCCAGTTGACAGTGTGGTGGTAACAGAGGTTGGCATTCTGACTGATGTACACGCTGCCGTCGCTGATTTCCTGGAGAGATCGCAGGCCGAGTGAGGTCAGAGCAGGGATGTGCATCACCATCAGAGAGAAGCGCCTTTTTGTTTCACGGATTGGAAGAGGAAGATACGGAGAGAAAAAAACATATATTTTCAGTGCAAAGCTTTGATTTAGGGTTAAAGTCTAAACTTTTATGGTTTAGTTTGGGTGCGATGTTAAAATAGGGATCTAACACACACACATTTCCATACCTTCCTACAGCTGTGAAGCATGGGGAGAGAAGAGAAAGATTAGAATGTGTGAACAAAATGCAGAGAGGATGTGTTTAGTGTTAGGAGATATTAACACAGAAGAACTTATAAAACTGAACAAACAGGTGTAAAGTGGGTCAAAACTTAATGATAATGTTAATGAAACCCGGTTTCCACACAGATTGATGTTAATTTATGCAGGAAATATCAAAATAAAGTGACAGGAGGTGCAGAACTTGTCACCTGCAACAACCTGTAAGATGTTTAAACACATTTATTTCACCAGGTTAGTTAGTAGTTAACCTTTGACGCGTCAGCCTTACTTGTAAAGCGACCTTCCTTGAATCGTAGTGAGGCTCGAAAAAACCGACAGGTCATTCAGCTCTTTGGGCCATGACTGGATGTTCAGAATATCTGAAAGTTTCACAAACACACATCGTATTTGTTTCAAATGAGCTGGTGTGTCCAGAAAGTACGAGTGGCATTATTACTAAAAAAAACAAAACGAAACATGAAACAGCTTCACTGAACCTGTTATCTCCCTCACGGTGCGGAACACGTCTAACTTTTTGGCATCGAGGGGTGGAATTCTTTTAAAGTCATCTCTGTAAGAAAAAAAAACAATAAAAACAACATAAGCTGTCTGACATTATGCTTGCAGATTCTCCACTTTGTCTGGACATATTACCCAAGGATCCCCGTGACCAGGAAGTGAAGGCTGCCTTGGATCTTCGTGCAGTTGATGAAGCTGTCGATGTTGCTGGAGTCCACGGTCTGTCTGTGCTCATCACCGGTTCCTTCGCACACTGCAGAGATGATCAGCACCCGTTATAATGATTCTTCACATACATATATTCTATAATCTAAGGATGAACTTGACTTTGTGTCCAACCTTTTGGGCAGAGTCCACTGCAGGTCTCACACTGCCTCTGGCCTTCTCTTTCTACCTCCGTCTTGTCCAGAGGACAGACACTCACACAGGAGCTGCCATCCACCACAAAATGAGCTATGGACAATAAAACGCCCCAAAATCACCATGGTTCAAAAATAAGTCATTTGCAAAACATTGCTATTTAATGATGAAATAATGCTTACGAGTTGAAAATCCTAATAAAAATCATGCTGATTATCAAAACAAACATCACTTACTGGGACACTGAGAAACACAGATGGATCCATATTGGTACTTGGCATTTGGATTGGTCTCCATTTGAAATGTCTGCTTGTTATAGATGAGTGTTTGGGGACATTGAGGAACACAGGCTCCGGAGTCATTGAAATGGCGACATGCCTTTACAGGAACACACAAACAGGCAAGTACAGCTGAAACTCATCAGACTGAAGAAGTCTCTTGGAGGAGAGATGAAACGTTTCACTAAAGAAGAACCCATCCAGAGGACCTACTTGTTGTTTTCTTTTTCACATTGGTAATATTCTTAGAGATTTTAACTTCTACCAAAGGAATTTGTGGTAAAATACTTGTACTTTTACTCAAGTCTCACTTTGAGGTACTTACAGAACAGCACAAAAAAGTAAGGAAATTTGTGTTTGGTAGATAATTTCTTTGTTGTAACAATGCTTTGCGGCAAAAATCTTATATCGGACACCTGCTCAAAACAAGAGTCAATAACAAGATAAGATTTGACCAATTTTTCATGTGTGCAACCCACATACTCAGCTCTACTGCTCATCCCACAAATGCATGTTCCTTACAAATGTGGCACCACTTAAAAGAGAAATTAACAGACTTTCCAACGGTATAAGATTTGTTGCCAAGACACATTACAAAATAAAAGAATCTACCAAATACACATTTCCTTACTTTTTGTGCTGTTCTGTAAGTACCTCAAAGTGAGACTTGAGTAAAAGTACAAGTATTTTACCACAAATTCCTTTGGTAGAAGTTAAAATCTCTAAGAATATTACCAATGTGAAAAAGAAAACAATAAGTAGGTCCTCTGGATGGGTTCTTCTTTAGTGAAACGTTTCATCTCTCCTCCAAGAGACTTCTTCAGTCTGATAAGTTTCAGGTGAACTCAGCCTTATAAGCACTGCCTCCACATGGACAAACAGGTTAGTCACATGCAAAAGAGGGCCATCGACTAACAATAGGCTTGATTAGCTCTATTTAGTCACATGCAAAAGAGGCAAAATTTAAAATACCCAACACAAAAAGGGAAATAGAGACAAAAACAAGGGGACGTCGAGCCCCACTTGAACTCACTACATACACATAACACCACACCAAATAACCACAGCTGAAGCATCCAAACCAATAAGTCAGGTGATGGGGCACATGACCCTCTATGAACAATAGAGCTAATCAAGCCTATTGTTAGGCGATGGCCCTCTCTTGCATGTGACTAACCTGTTTGTCCATGTGGAGGCAGTGCTTATAAGGCTGAGTTCACCTGAAACTCATCAGACTGAAGAAGTCTCTTGGAGGAGAGACGAAACGTTTCACTAAAAGAAGAACCCATCCAGAGGACCTACTTATTTTTTCTTTTTGATTTTATTTTACCTGGTTTACTGAGATGCATCAGGATATTACCAATATGGTGTCAGAATGGTATATGTTTATACTTCTCATCCAACAACAATTAAATTCACTCTATCCGGGAGGTGCGATTTATCTGGACAGGTTTTTATGTTTTTTCTAACATTAACAATTCATAGTTAAATAGGAAAAATCAAACGGTTGTAATGAAGTAACTAAGTATTTTTATTTTGTTACTTCACAACTATTTGCCTAAACTCAAAGACCACAGACCACAAGGATCCACTTACAAAGCAGTCCCCATCCAGAGGGCCCTTGCATCCCGCTGCACACTCTGTGTGACAGCAGTCCCTGGGGCTCGTCCCAAAGCAGCGTCCATTACACTGTGCAGCACACACCATCTTAGTCACTGAGAGAACAAACGAGAGGACGGGTTAAACAGAGGTCACAACTTGATGCTTGTCTTTCTGTGCGTTCATCACTCTGTCTCAGCTCATTTCTTCATGCACTCACAGATCTGACACTGGTCCTTATTTGGCCCCCAGCAGTAATCTCCACAAGACTTGTGGCATGGACCTGAAAGAGAGGGGGAGAACGAAATAGAAAGAGAAGACAATTCAGAGAGACGAAAAAAAGAGATTTGAGGATGGTTGTGACGTAGGACTGTCCAAGCAGAGACCTCTCTCCCCGTTCTGCTGGATGTCAATAGGAGCGCTGTTGTCCCGTACGATATCCTGCCAGAAAATCCATGGGCCATAACTCAGGTATTTGTTATTAATAATCTGCACTCCTCCATCCAGAATCTCTGTGATGAAGAAGAAAAAAAGAAGGTAACATAAATCAGAACAGCACACATACAGCTGGGAGTTCAGTCTTTCAACTAATATTATTATTAGTTCAAATTTTCAGTTAAGTTGGGCTTGAGTGTGGATATGGTGATTAATGGTAAAGCCTCGAATATCAGAAAATATCTCTTCTCAGACTTCCATTTCCATTTCTGTGATATATCATGTCCCATTAACCTGTCAGATTTGCCAGCCCTAGCTGCCGAAGGCCGTTGGAGCCATCCTTGGGGTAGTTGAAGAAAACAGAGAGCGCAAAGCGTCGTTCATACAGGCTGTTCCCTCTGATGACCCGCAGCTGTCCCAAGGGAATCTCCTGGAAGTGGTTCATCGCGATGAGGACATAACCAGTCACTTCTCTGATTGTCTGACGGGAAGAAGAAGAAGAAAGAAGAAGAAGAAGAAGAAGAAGAAGACATAAAACTAAAGGCGGTTTTACTTGATCTGATTTACAGCGGGGGTGGAATAACGTGCTGAACACATCAATGTTTTCTTAGTAAAGATATTTTCTAATGGGGCCATTGACATAAAATTTACACCAGATGTTGGTACAAGACCAAGTAATCCACACATGCAAAGAAATAAAAACAAATACATCCATAAATTATGTGTAATAAAGTGAAAAGTCATGGGGAATATACTGAACGCATGAAGAAAAGGAGATGCAAAAATGTCACGGAAAGCCAAGTAACCAGCTGAATTTCTGCCTCCAAAACGTATTCCTGTTAAATACTCAAGTCGAAGTATAGATACTAGTGTTTAAAGACTTCTGTTGAAGAAAAAGTATCAACTTGAGCTTTTTGCTCAATCAGAAGTGTAAAAGTACTGATTTTAAAGTATAAAAGTAAAAGTAATATAAGGAAAATTAGGACAAACACTTTGTTTGGCATCTCAGTGGGGGTCTATAGTGCACAAATTCACCTCTAAAATGAAAAGGCTACCTGTTACAGCAGCACATGTAACTCTGCCATTTTCATACTTCTGATATGTCTTGCTGGAAAGTGACAAATTCAATTCACTCTATCTGGGAGGTACCATATACATGGATAGATTTATTTTTGAATAAAGACAAGCTGAAATGAAAGAAATGAAATACTCCTTATATTTTTTAATGTAAGGAGTAGAAGTAAACAGATGGCTGAACAAGAAGGACTCCAGTGAAGTATAAATAACCAAACCTTCTATTTAAGTAAGATAAAGTATTCATACTTTTTACATGACAGCTTTGTCTACCTCCTAACAGGCCCTATGTGATGGCCTACATTATAAACCATTTTTCATTATTAGCACAATAAACTTCTCTCAAGACCTTTAAAACCTTATTGTTGCAAAACATATTTGGTTAGAGATATTTTAAGGACCACTCATGGGGCTTTAAGAAGAACCTAGAATTAGCAGCTACACATACATAATGTTGTTTCAAAGAAAACAATAAGTAATGCACTGAACCACCATGGCCTCTGCATGTTCACTGAATAAGACTTCAATACTGAAGAAAAGATGGTTTAAACTTGCTTAAAGTTTGCTTCCAAACAAATTGAGAGATTATAATCTGGTGAGGTGAGCCCATGGATGTAGTTGCACCTCACCCTCAAAACACCAATAGTGAAGTATGAAGGTGGGAACATCATGGTGTGGGACTGCTTTCATTATGCGGGACTCACAGACTTAATTCAGTTGAAAGAAGACTGTCTGTAATCTGCTGCCATCTACCAGGATGCAGAAGATGGATGTTTCAGCAAGACAAAGATCCCAAACGGGCATTATTATTATTATTATTATTATTTTTAGAAGTGTTAAGTAAATTGTATTATCATTGTTTTTATGTTACTCTGTTGTGGTGGATATAGCAGTAAATGAGAGTCTCAAGAGATTTTCCTGAATAAATAAAGGATAAAAAAAAGAAAAGAAAAAGGCAGCCAAGGGAACACAAATGGCTTTTAGAGAGAAATAAAATAAAGCTGGTGGAGTGGTCCAGTCTTAATCAATGGGCTTGATTTGTTACTCACGTCTGGTGTAGATTCTCTGTCAGCAGACACATTAATATTTTTATTGAATTAAAAAAACACTGATGTGTTCAACGCTTCTTTCCCCCCAGTGCATTTTTGAGGTTCGATCCATCATRCTGGACAAGCTGAAGGAGTCTGATTACCTTGAGGAAGGAGAAGTCCCAGTTACTCTCAATCTGAGTGATCTCCAGGTTTCCCATGATGATCTCACAGCTGTCATACCGGTCCTTAATCAGATTGTACTGATTCTCCTGAGAGCCGGTGGAGCTCAGGCCGTTCTGGGTACCAGGACACACTGCGGACACACGAGGAAGAAGGCAAAACAAAACAAAARTTTCTTTCAAATCTCAGTGAGCTGCAGTATTAAGAATTTGATTAATGAATGCAAATCGATGTATGTAATGACGAAAATGCAAATGAAGCTGCAGAAGTGGCGAGCATGAGTCCCGTGGGTTGGGTTGTTTCTGTCTTATTTATTGCGTCTCTCTGCACATTTCGTTTCGAGGCAAACGGACTGCCTGCAAACCCGGGGCGCACGGAGCAGCTCAGGCCCAAGGGGCGGCGAAGAGGAGGCCAAAGGGTCGAGGCAGAAGGCTCGCTCGCAGACAACGTGCCTCATTGTGACAAAAGCTCTAAATGTGGACAGTGTGTTGCAAGCAGAGCGTAGAACCATGCAGCGGCAGACAGAGCTTCTCTGTGTGCGTGCACGTCTGTGAGGAAAGTGTCGCTGAGATCATACTGAGAGACAATGGGTCGTGTGTGAGCACGGCGAGCRAGTGCAGAAAATATCGTGAACAGACGGAGACGTGCACGTCAGCTCCCGGTGAGAAACAACAACCTGTGGCACCGGTTAAAGACGGAGCACCTGCAGCAGAGCTCGAGCTCATGCAAACAGAGTTGGAGCTTCCAGTGGAGGAGCGGTAGAATTTATCTATTATAATGAAAAACACAAATAACCAAACTTCACAAGAAACAAACTGAAGAGCAACGGATAAATGAGCTGTTTAGTTGTTAGTTTTAGTGGAATTTTATGACCTTGTTTCCTTCAGTTTAGCATTTTRGAGTTTTAAAGGAGACTTAAAGCTTTTAAATCTTTCTTTTTCACATTTAAATCCTTCATTTGGGGTGTATTCAACCGCGATCCTGTCTCTGAATTCCTCCTTGTTGTAACTCCACAAGCCCCTCTTTCGCCCCTTGAGGTGTGTCTCAGATCAACTCGTTTTGATGCTGTTCCTTTAAATTCAAATAAGGCGCTTCACACCCCGCCCCCTCCAGCTTCCAGAGCAGTTTTTTCTAGTTTGAGAGAGGGGCTTACGAATATATAGTCACAGAAATATTTTACTTACAAATGAATTAAAAAATGTCAACAACAGAACACTCATCCATCCAGCCTTACTTGGAGACAGAGCAGAAAGAAGACGACCAAATGTCAGTTCCGTTGCACATACTGAGATGTAATAGTTCAGAAAAAGTCATGGAAAATGGAGAAAACTGAACTGGTGAAAAATAAAATTAAACTTCCCACTCCTAGAGATTTCAAGTACACAACAAAATGTATTTAACGACTAAAAAAGTGGATTTTGCATGATATGTCCCCTTTAATAAAAAGCCCACCCTGTGCAAGTTTAGAGATGTCATTTAAGAATGTAATATAACCTCGTCTGTGGTTACAGATGTTTATGTACACTGTCCATTAATGAGGCTACTTATTACAGTGTATTGTGAACTTTTTGTGTAATGGGAACATTCTGACATAAATGGGGCACCAAGTGTTTTTGTTACATTGACTTGAGTGGAATTTTATTGACCTATTAAAGAACTTTATGCGATATCGTGGAACAATAAAAAAAGCTTTCAAGAACCAAAGCAGGGTGTTTGAGTTGACTTGGTGAAACTGAGGGTTATGGGTTTACATTCTTTTGAATAAAAAAAACAACTACAATGCATTTCTGTTTACTTAAATTGCTTTAACYTATCACAAGTTGCTCAGGAATAAACACTGGATGAAGTCAAGCATTTATGAAGTWTAGCGAAGTTGATGGAAACAAGGTTTTTCGTAATAAAATGAACAAAAAWTTTTACTGACCTTCGTGTGTTTGAGACCATGCTGTTTGGATCCAGAACCACAAAATCACACAAAACAATCTGATTCTCAGCTGGTCCATGGTGATGTCCAGGGCGCTCACAGAGATTTCAGCATTTCAGTGAAGCAAACCTCCAAACAGCTCTAAAGACAATAATTACAGGGAGGAAAAAGGTCAAACATCATAAATGCAAAACAACAAGGGAATGCAGCTTCTTGTTGTGCTCCAGTTAACCCGATTAAATCAATTGCAAGAGAGAAAACTGGGCAGAAATTGTAATCCTGGGATTTCCCGCCCCGAGAGAGGCATCTTATTGGCCCACCGCCAGAATTATTCACCAACCAGAGGTCTGTCCATCCTTTTGTCCCCATCCACCTTCAAGCTGCAGCTTCAGTCCTCCAATTAAAAAACATATATCCAGAAATGTACGTAATATCAAGTAATTAAAGTTACAAATTGCTAATGCGTGCATGCAAAAAGGCAGAGCTGATAAAAATCAGTGGAAGGCATCTCCCAGCAAAACATGTTGCTCAGCAGTGTGCTTGGTCTGCATGCTGTCTGCCTCTTTGTGTGCAGTTATTTTGGTCCAGCTGCTGCATGTAGACGCAGTGTTGTGCTCTCAGCCTGAGTGGTCTCAGTGTTCTCCCTGTAAAAAGCAGTATTGTCCCCCGCAGCCCCGTCAACTGGTTAATCACCTCTTTGATGCGTATGGAGCAGCCAGTCACAAGGGCCACATTGTCAGTGACTTCTGAACCCAAAACAAGAAGATGCTTAATTTTTTTTTGGGAGGGGGGAATGTTTTTTTCTTTTTTAATTCCTGAACACTGAGTTGTGAGTGAGATGTAGGGGGACTAATAGTGACTAATAGATGGATATCAGTAAGTGCTTTTGATGGACGAGCCATTAGATCTTATTTTGGAYAGTTAGAAGGAAGATGACTGAAACAGATCACAGTTTGAGTAAAATTTGAAGGTTTGGAGTAAAAGTGAAACTAAACTTTCATTTTTTATTTTTAACGTTGTTGTATAAAAAGTCATAAAATGCTGAAAAGTGTATTGAAATGTGCAGTTTTTCAGTGGTTTAGGATCATTTCACCTGTTATCTGTCCAGCAGGAGGAGACAGAGTCTGACAGTTCAGCATCTCATCCGTGCAATTTTTTTAAAATCTGTTTTGTATTTATTGTTTGTGCTCAAACTTCTAATCTTCTTTAATAAAATAATCAACCATCATCCGACTGACAGCAGACTTTGAACGTTGTGGCTCAACAACCTTTGGGCAGACACATACTGACCTGCATCAATTTATTTATCTGATGTGACGAGCCAAAAAGCTCAAGTTTAGTCTCATCAGTCCCAGAATCACTGAGGTTAGTCAACATGTGTTTTTGACAAACACCTTTCTGACTGTTTGTGTTTATCTGTCAGTCGTGGAACCTCCCAGGTCTTCTTCCATGGGACTCGTCACGATTTGATGCTGCAGAAAGTCACAAACCTTGACTCATTTTTTTACCATTGGTACTCGCCGTCTGATCAACATGGGGTTGCATTTCCTCTTGAATCCATGTCCTGGGTGATTTGCTTCAGTCCCATGAACCTAATACTTTTCAGTAATATTGTTAGTGTTGTGGTCAGAGGACCAAGAAGCTCCTGGGGCAGCTCTTTGCTCCATGTTCAGTGTGGTGCACACAGTCCTGTGGTCTGTTTGTTAAATGATGTCTGGTAAAAAAGCTTAATGGTAGCTGTGATACTAACTAAAGTCAAACTTTTATTTGAAACATGACCATGATACAAGGAATAGTCTCACCAACGATACTAAAAAATCTCTGCTAACAAACTACTTTTCACATTTTACTTATTTGCTTTACCAAAACATGCAGACCTGCATTGTTTCAATGAGCTGTAAAGTTCCATCAGTTATCAAGTTTCTGTATATATAAACATGACTYCCGGTAGTTTTGTTAAACTTGTGATGCTTCCTTGTTTTGTTAGCAGAGTTTGACCTTTTAAGTGACCTTCGCAGTGTCCACCTCCATGTCAGTCCTGGTGGCCCTGTCCTGTCCTGTCCAGAGGCCAAACTGTGAGAAGTGCCTGCAGCGGCCTTGTTTTTTTCTTCTTCCAGTTTCCACTCTCTTCAGAGATTGATGAATTGATTGTGTGGCTGCTGCCAGTGTGTCTGTGCCCCGGGCGAAGGTGTCCCGGTTACGGGTGGGAATCCCAGCTATGGCACCCACCCTGGGGTTGCTATTGTAGCCGACCTGCAGGGGGCCCTGGGGGGCTGTTGGCCCCGGGAGCAGCTCCGACTTACATACTGCTGTCACACCCTTGGAGACACAGCGGCACTCCTCCTACGAGCCCCTCTGATCAGCTCAGACTAAATGACTTTCTCTGGGGAGCTGCAAGTCCGCAGGGAGACTTCTCCTGCTGCCAGCAACTCCGAAACGGGTAAAAGTATCTTCCTACCTGTCTGAGATGTCCACCGTATCTGCCTTAATATTTTAATAAACATTTTACTTCAGCTCAGATCAGTCATAAGATTGAAAGCAAAGCAWGTGTCAAACTCAAGGCTCACTGGCCAAATCAGGCCCTGGTTAACATTTTATCTGGTCCCAAAAGTAATATTTTGAAAGTAGGCTAAAATCATTTCATTGTTTCTCTTTTTGTCACTGTACTTAGTGAAATCTTTTCTTAACAGTGGTTGACTTTTATTCTGCYTTTTCTTCTATTTTTAAAGTAAAATAATTAGTTTTTCATTGTTTTTTTTTAAACTGCTTTGCTGGATTGAGATAAAATGTATCTCTAAGGAAAAGTCAATGCAATAGTTCATAGTAGAATGTAAGACATAAGAAATAAAGGCTACTTATGTGCATTTATTTTTTATTAGGGTATGTCTATCCTACGTACCATATACTGTACTTTGGAAAAGGAAATTTATATTTCTAGAAGAATAATTTGTTAGATAACATTTAAAATCAATATTTTATTCTATAAATARGGACAGAGATTAGTCCTTGGCTTTGGACCAAGATTTGAGTTTGGGCCCTCTTGTGTACCTGGGTTTGAAACCCCTCCTCTAACGGGATAATTTAAATCTTTCAAAAGTGGGGCTATTGTGGAAAGGCTATGAAGAATGAATATCTTACCTGTAGTAAGAACTGTGGTCCTTTTTACTGGGTTCAAGAAACAATACTTTCCTTTTTTTGAATGTGGAGCCCTTGAAAGTGTCTTGGCCACCCCTTGCACAAACGCCTTGCTCCACCACTGCATCCGTTTTGCATCTTTAGATGTTGATCTGTCAGTAAGTGATGAGTATAATTAATTTAAAACAGGTGCAAATGAAAACTGATCAAAGCGGTGAAAAGAAGAAGCTCAAACCAAAAATGAAACAAGTACAAAAAAAATCAAATTTGTTTTGGTTTTTTATTGATCACTGAAACGCCAGGAATCATCAAACCATTCAACACTATTTTTTACACCATTTCATGTTTATCCCTTTCATAGTTTTTACATATTCTACTATATTTTTCACTGAATGCAAATAATTCTACTTTTTTTTTTTTTTGGAAACGTGTTAGTGGGAATGTTGTGGAGTCTTGTTTGCCTCTTAACAGCTAAAAAAAAAGAAATAAAAACTTAGATGTTTAGCCACGACATTGCCACAGATCATATACAGTATGAGTGAAATACTTTGAATGCTGGACATTCCTACCTGTTGTCAACGATGAAATAAATAACCACAGTAAAAAAAAGGAAACAATGTTCACACCGAACCGAACATGATAGAGAACACGTCACACTCTCACGCACAAGCTGCTGCCAGATATCTGCCAACACACTGACCCCCACTATCTACAGGTGTAAGAACAGCACTGCCAGTTTAACACCACACAAAACTCCTCTGGCTACAGAGGAAACATACAGTATATACATTTTCAGCTGACATACAAAAGCATGCTTATTTGCATATTAGAAGGTTGTTTGGTAAACTTTACACAAAATCCATGACGGTTATTAGTACAGCATTGATCCAACCAGCAGCAATAATTTTGACTAACAAATATAGTCTGAGGAAACAGGCTATTAAAGTATAATTCACTTTTATTACACATCTTATACAGTATTAACATGCCTCATGTCGCAGTATTACTATCATCCTCATCCTGTTGTGTGACAACCCCAAGAAAACGCCACATCTAGTTAGTGAAATAAAATTAAACAAAATGGAACAAAAAACAAAATACGAGACGGAGACAATACTGCGTAACCTGACACACACATACACACACACAGGTTGGGTTAAAGTAAGCAGCACGTGACAGGGTGATCGGGTTGATGAACACACGGCAGCACAAAACCTGGTTTTAAAAAAAAAGAAATCAAACATTCAGAAACGGCGTCAGTTCGAATAACGCCAACTACATGCCGCGCTGCGAAACTCGCCGCGGCCGAGTGGCGGCAATTTCTCTAAGCCACAGAGCTGGTACAGACGGAGCGTCTGCTCTGTCATCAGTGTCGCTTCAGAAATCACATCCTGCCAATCGCTTTTTAACCCTCGCTGAGCCAGGCGAGAAAAAAAAACATTATTTACAGCAGCGGCCTTTTATAAGCCCAACACTGGGATTATCTCKATGCAGACTGGGAAGCAGTAATTTACACTTTGTTTTTTTTTTTTTTACTTTCCTTTTCCTCTTTTTTTAAAAATGTAATCAGCTGCCTTCACAGTAAAATGCACATTGCAAAGGAGAAATCATACGATGCACTTCTAGAGCATAAATCAATCAATAAATAGGTAAATATCGACAAGAACGGTTAGTAACATGAACTATTTGTGTCTCTTAAAAATAAATAAGTTAAACAGAATCAAATCTGGACTAAAATAATATTTTGAAGAGCGTAATTCTGTGGCAGTAAAAATAACTTTGGACATTAAAATATAATGTTAAGCTTTGCGAAGCCTTTAGAAGCATACTGCATTGAAATTGTGATATTCTAATATTTGACATTCTTTTATAATTTACACAGAGTTTACTGATTCTAAGGGAGGGAAGGCTGACCGGTCGTCAAATAGTCGTCACACTTTCACGTTAAATGTCGTAATGGAGATCACAGACCGTAAAGAAGGGGAAATGCCTAGAGCTCTACACACTAATGCCAGAATTTATGTTTTCAGTTTAAAAAGTGGAAAATGTTGCAGTCAAGTCTATTTGTAAATGATGGAAAACACTACACATCAAAAATATGCAAATGAATCAAAYTATGGAAATAAAAAAATTGATATTTACGGGGGAGAAAACCACTGAGAGTCACACGCCCTCTGGAGCTTTTTTCAGCCTTTCCTCTCTARGRAAACACAACAGACCCACTGTAACCACCACCTGGAGCTGGCACCCAGGCTCCTCCCCTCGTCTCTGACCGCCCTCCGCCCTCCTCGCTTCACTTTTTGTTCTTCAGCTGATTGGCCAGCCAGTCCAGGCCCTCGTAGAGGCCGTCCCCGCTGGTGGCGCAGGTGGCCTGGATGTACCAGTTGCGGTGGCGTAAGGAYTGCAGGCCCAGCTTGTCTGTGATCTCGGCGGCGTTCATGGCGTTGGGCAGGTCCTGAGCAAAACGGTAAAGAGTCAGTTGAGAAAAACAAACGGGAAAAAAAAAAGCCTCCGCTGCTAGGAGCCGCACCTGTTTGTTGGCGAAGACGAGGAGAACGGCGTCCCGCAGCTCGTCCTCAGCCAGCATCCTCATCAGTTCCTCGCGGGCTTCGTTGACTCGCTCCCGGTCGTTGCTGTCCACCACAAAGATCAAACCTGCAGCAGGAAAACCAGGTTAAACATCATCGCCCTCCACCAAAGGTGACGGCAGAGCGATAATGGTTCTGCTTMGGAATCYGTCTGATTCAAGATGGCCGGCTACCGCACAACAATCTTCGCAAACACAGAAATGACTGCAACTCCGAAAACTATCACAAACTGCTGGAAAAATCCCTGTGTGCCTGTTAGCAAAATATCTTTTGAATAAAAAGAGGAATTGTCATGAAACTCTCAGAGAATAAAGGTGTACATCTACAATTGATCACCTTTTGGAGTAAACCAAATTTAAAATGGTCGACTACAGCAAATCTACCTCAACCTTTCCAAAACAAAAGATACTGAGCTAAAATTAGCCGTGGAAGTAGCTGATAGTCATTCCCAACACACACTTTAAGCGCTAACAGATAATCCAAAATAGCACAAATGATCACGAGAACGTTATTTCCAAGGTTTAACCAAATGTCATCTTGTCTCAACGTAAGACAAACTTAGTTTAAAACCTCTGCATGAAAGGCGACAGGTGATATGCATTTCTTCAAGAAATCCCAGGCCTTTAATTAATAAAGATTTCTGTGCGACTGTGAGACTCATCTGAAAASAGACTGTACGAAAGTGAGCTCATCTGAAGCGTGAGTCAGACAAACCCTCAGGTGTTGGGGGCGAGCGTGCACGGCAGCTTGTTCAGCCGAACTGAAAGAGCCTCGTCAACAGCGAAGTGGACGACGGCTACGTCAACGTGATGAGCTCACCTTGTGTGTTCTGGAAGTAGTGTCTCCACAGGGGACGGATCTTGTCCTGGCCGCCCACGTCCCACACAGTGAAGCTGATGTTTTTGTATTCCACCGTCTCCACATTAAACCCTGAACAGAAAGATTAAAATGGATAATGAACGGTATGTTTACATAGATCTCCTTATTTTACCCCCCCGCCCCTACAGACCAATTGTGGGGATGGTGGTGACGATCTCTCCCAGCTTCAGCTTGTAAAGGATGGTGGTCTTCCCGGCAGCGTCCAGCCCTACCATGAGAATCCTCATTTCTTTTTTGCCTATCAGGCTCTTCAGCAGGTTCCCAAAGATGTTTCCCATGACGACCGGCGGCTCTTATCTCGACTGCAACAGAACCGAGACACGGACAAACTCAGCAACAAAGAAGAGTTAAACTCACACTCAAAGCAACGCATTAAAACGGCGTGGTGAAACGGACTAAATTCACCTCAGAGGAAAGTCAGTGAGAACACCCTTACCACTTTAACGAGAGCCGACCGGACTCTGTTTCTGGACTCCACTACTTTACACTGTGACATGGAGAACAACAACCACACCGAGTCTATGTTATATGGATCGGCTTTCAGAGTGCAGATCAACTACCTGTTCAGGTGTTTGACAGCGACCGAAGCAACAAAAATGTAACTACATTTTTACCTATGAGCAAAGTGACAGTATGTGTGGTGCACAGTCTCTCTGTGGCCCTTCAGGCCATCTCTCTTTCTGCAAACACATTTCACCTGAGCTGCAGCTGCTGTAAACAGGATGCTCAGACGAGCAAAAGCTGCACATGAAGCARATCTTGAAAACATTTTTTTTCTTTTACCAATCTAGAGCTCATAACTAATGTTGTCACAGATCATACATGTATTTGTATGAAGCACAGAGCGGCAGGAGCTGTTAGCACAGCCTGTTACAGCTGCAGAGGCTCCACATACAGCTGTCATAATGCGAGGAGAAGGCGAGGGGATGCTGCAGTGCAAGCAGCCGGTGGCTCCTGTCACGTTTCTTCAAGCCGAATCATTATCCGAGCCCACAAATTACTACTGCTCATTTTCCTGCTCTTTAAAATGAAACGAGTAAATCTCCAGGTCAAAATTTCTGTGGCATATTAATGATACCCYAGTACAGTCACGACAAAAAACGCACCAGTCCGGCCTCTAATGTCGTCGATAAACGGCCGCTCTTTAGCTTAAAATTAAGTTGAAAGCGTTTAAATACCGACAAACATGCGGTCAGCTGTAATACAACTCTACGTTTTTCGGTCATTTCCCCACATTTGCACCTCATTCGCACTCACCCCGTTAACTGCAGGCAGCACACCAGCTGAATTCAGCAGGCAAAGGACTGGATGCTGACCTCGCGAGAACTCGCGACTTTCCAACAGGAAGTTCTCGCGATACTTGGGGGATGCTGAACCACCTCTGTCATCCCCAAATATGTCAAAAACTAGAAGGTAAGTTTTTAAAGCAAGAGAGGACTCCTGGTCTTCACATTGTCTTCTTGGAACACAAGAAATTTATTCAAGAAAATATTTATATATATTTAATTAAATATCAATTAAATCAGAGGAGACTGCTGTGAGTGTTTCCAATTTCATCACTTATTTAAAACAACGATTTTTATATAAAAATGTGTTTCATACTGTATGGTCAAATACGGTAAGAAACACAAATACAAATACAGTCTTGACAATAGTATCTAACTAAAAATGTGCTAATTTGCCTTCAGTTTATGAAATTAACAAGACTCAAAATTGTTTGATTTACCAATTCATTAAAAAGTTTTCCACATTTTATAAGATAGATAGATAGATAGATAGATAGATAGATAGAT